CCACACGCATTCTTGAGATTCCAGCGCCAGGAGATTCACGGCGGCGTGCTCTATGGTTGTGAGCTCAGTCAGAACGAGTCGCCGAGGGTTACGTGGTTTGTGATGGCGGCGAGGTCTCCGTACACCTTGTCCACGGTTGCATGGGGCGACAGGACCAAAATCCTGCATTCGGCAACTTTGCGTTGACGAAGTCGACGAGTCATGCCTGTTCTCGCCGTGTAAATCACCACATGGCGTTCACCGTTGGCGGGTTGAGCAAGCTCCCGAGATGTGGTTGGTTCATGTGACGATAATTCAGGCAAACACGCAGTGAATGGAACGCTCAGCGGGGTACCGCAAGAGCTTGTAGTACGAAGACGAACTTCTCTTCCACGCGGGAATGGCCAAGGCCACTCGACGTGGAATAGCCACAAACTCCGTTGGCAAGAGAATGCTATCACGAATAGACAGATGGGATATGGATCGATGTTGAGGTCGACGCAGCGACCGCAGGACACGTGGCCCAGTGCCTTGCTTTGTTCGGGGTGGGTTGTACGGGAGGCATCCCTATGTGAGAAGACACAGAAAAGAACACAGCCCCTCATGAGGTCTCCCACAATGGTTTCGGGGTTTAGGAGGTCCCATCAGGACCCCCGGAGTGCCACGGACCCAGACCTCTGTGTCAACCTCGCATCGATAGCTGCTCCATCTCCGCCTCTCGTCCTCCATGCACCTCCAAGTCTTGGCATCACAGCGTTGTGGCGAACGTCCAGCGATTTTGAAAATCGTCGTTTTTTTTAATTTCCTCAACAGAACAAATGGTTTGTATGTCGATTGAAAAAGTTTATTTAAAATAGATGAAATGCTTAAGATGCATTCGTTCGGAATTTTTAAAAACATTTGAAACAATCGTCAAGGATTTAAAATCCTTCACCGGTCGAATCGGTGTCACAATGGCATGGACAAGTTTGTGACCAAGACGGCCAAGCGGCCCGCGGCCGACGACGGCAGAGATACCTCCACAGCGAAGAAAGCCAAGTCAGTTGAAAGGCCCGAGTCGCCTGCGGTCGGCGAGTGCACGTGGGAGGAGATTGGAACGGTGCTGTACATGTGCAACTTTGCCGCTCCGTCCTGTGGAACGAAGACCCTTGCCAAGATCGCCGCCTTGGACTTGGACAGCACGCTGATCTCGACGAAGAGCGGCAAGACGTTTCCCACTGACGCGAAGGATTGGAAGTTCTGGAACGAGTGTGTTCCCACCGCGCTTCGCAATGTCGTGGCGGATGGATACCAAGTTGTGGTCTTCTCCAACCAGAGCGGGTTGTCCAAGGGCCGCGTCAGCGCCACTGAGCTCAAGGTACTGCCATGCCATTCCAAAATCTTTCACGCCACTCTGACACGTTGCCGCTCTCCTCCACATGTAGACCAAGATCAACGCGATCGCCGCCCAACTCAATATGCCCCTTCGCGTGTTTCTCATGTCTTCCGACGACATCATGCGAAAGCCCCGCATCGGAGCATGGACGTTGATGGTACGAAGCATGCCGCGTTATGGATGTCCACACGACATGCACATAGCTCCGTCATTGTAACTTGGACGTCGACCTCGCCAACAGCTTTTATTGTGGCGACGCCGCGGGCAGGCCGAAAGGTAACCAAGCGTCCTGACGACCGCGGGGGCGGCAGACACCAACATAACGCCGTCCCGTTGCAGCTGCTGGAAAGAGCAAAAAAGACTTTTCGTGCGCCGACTACAAGTTTGCTCTGAACGTCGGCATTGCGTTTTCCACGCCCGAGCGATTCTTCCTCAAGTCGACACTGGTTTCGCTCCAGCTCTCACTTCATGGCGCGTAGTGCTTCAACTCGTTTGGCGAGTAGGGTCTCCATTGTAATCCCGAATCGTTTGAGCTGGGCCACGACCCCCGCTCTCTGCTCCAGACGGAACACGGTGACGTCACCAAGAACGTGTCATGCCCATGGTTGATGGTGGGTGTTTGAATGCAGCCGCATTTCAAGTCGCGTCGACCGACTCCCAGGAGTTGGTTGTTCTCGTGGGGAGTCCAGCATCGGGCAAGTCGTCCTTTTGCAAAGCGTACTTTTCGAGTAAGCCGTGCATCGTTTGTCATTTCGATCGCGGCATGAACGACGACTGACGTCCGTCGCAGCGCATGGCCGGATTAACCAAGACACGTTGAAAACACTGGCCAAGTGCAAAGCAGCCGCGCAGGACATGCTATCTCAAGGCAAGAGCGTTGTGATTGACAACACAAACCGCGACATCAAGGTCGTGCCTCCCATCATCTCACCCCCCGCCCTCGTTGTTGCGTCTGCCATGGACCTTCATCGGGACTCGATTCGTCGTAAACGACGTGCGATCGCGCTCGCTGACGTCCTGCTCACGTGTAGAGTCGTGCCGAGTGGATTGCCATGGCTAGAGACCACGTACGACGCGTGCCTCCCGTTGTCGACCCGCTCTCTCCGATGCCTCGTGATAATTCGTCGACGTAGAATGTCCCCGTGCGCGCATTCTACTTGGACCTGCCAAAGGCGCTCGTGTTTCACTTGAAGGAGTTTCGGATGCTGACTTCGTCCGACGCGTCCAAACCGACTGTGCCCGACATGGTCATTCATGGCTTCTTCAAGAACGTCCAAGTGCCGACGGTACATGGACCGAGACTTGCAACGACCCGATCGATCTCTGTGAGCGATTTCGTCGTAGGTCGCCGAAGGGTTTGCATCCGTCGTACACGTCCCGTTCGTCCCGCTGCCACACCTGGTCGCCGAGCCGTCCGCGAGCTTTGTGGAACAAGACAAATCTCTGTTGACGTCGTTCCTGTTGGGATAACTCACTCCAATGTCACGAGTGCGATGCGTGTTGTCGCTACTTGGAGACGATCTCGCGAAGGACGGCGGCTTCCGCCGCCATTTCGTCCA